CCCCCCCATGCCCCGCCTTCGTCGGCGCCCGTCGTCGCCGCCGCCGTCGCCGTCGTCGTCGCCGACGCCGTCGATCTTCGTCGATTCGCCGCGCAAGGAACCGACAGGGCCCGCGTTAAACGTCGCCGCGAATATATGTCGGCCCGCAAGCGAACCCTAAGCCGCGTCGCGCATGGATCCGCGGGGCCCGCTCGGGGGCGGGCCCCCCCGCGACCATTTCGCGCGCGCGCGAGCGCTCGGCGCCGCGCGGGGAACCGAGGGGCTCGCCCGGGGGGCTGGCTGCCAACGCCGCAATTTGTATATTGAGGCACGCGAGTAAACCTCGAGCCGCGTCGCGCAAGGAACGGCGGGGCTCGCGCGCCCGAACGCCAAGAAGCGCCCGAACTTTAAAGAGCGCGCCTGAACTTCGAAAAGCGCGCCAGATGGGGGCTGCCCAAACGCTTCCGCGACGCAGCGCCGTCGCAGCGCCGCGAGGAACCTAGCCCTTGTCCGGGGGCCCTTTCCCCAGATCACCCGCGCCGCCTGGCGCGCTGATTCCGCGCGATCCACGGCCGGGGGAACGCCGAGGGGTTCCGCGGCAGAATGGCGCGGGGGCGCAAGCGGGCCCGGGGGGGCGATCGGGCCCCCCCCCTGAACCCGGACTGGGCCTTCTTTCAAGCCGAGGACTGCGCGCGCGGGCCAGCGCGGGCGCGACGAGGACAATCGCGGAGGACATTCGCGGCGCGGGCGCCCGTGGATGCACGCGATCACGCAGAGTTTCTCGCCGGGAGGGCTGGCCGCTATGGTCGGCCAGATGACGCTGGCGCCTTCTGGCAACATTTCGATGCATTATTTGTCTGGGCCTGCGGTGTCCGCCGAGCGCGTGGCGACGACGAATCCAGACTGCGGCGCCCGCCGGGCCAATGGGGGAACATTTGATTGAAGTAGCGGGTCGCTTCGCAGCAAGGCCAACGCAAGAGAGCGACAGCTGGGCAAGCACGCATCAATGGAAGTCCGAGCGCGACGACGGGAACAGACCGCATCAACGCCTGGCGTGCGATTGGGTTATTTCCGCATTTTCAACCGGATCGCCATTGCGCGCGCAGTTATGCGGAAGCAGCTCAACGCGCGCGTCGCGGGCGACGCTGGAGCGAACCATGCCGACTGGCGGCCCATCGCCAGTGTCTTGGCTGATTTGCGCGCGGATCAGCATTCGCCCGCGAACGGCAGGCCGGCCCAGCATCCAGTTGCAACCGTTCTCTTTGACATCGCAGAGTTCGCGCAAGACGGGCCGACCGCAGAAATCCGACAGCTAACAAGCGAGGCAGGCGCAGGCGCGCGCGTGGAGTCAAGGCAGACATCTTCGAGGATAGCGGGGAAGCTGTTTAAAGACTTCCGCTGCAGTCGCAGACCGATATCACGTCGACAACAGGTTTACCACCACAGACAGTGCAAGAGTCTGTCGCCACCGTTCCAGACAAGTCCGGCGACCGCGAGAGAGCCGCGAATTCCACGTCAATGACAGCAGCGCAAGTTCATTGCGAATTTTGCGCCGAAGTCTTTGCATTCGAGGTTGGCCCCGTTTCGGACAAGCACCAAACCGCGGGCCAAGTTGGGCCCCAAGTCGGCGCAGGCACGGCGCGCCATCCTCGCCGCGACAGCAGCGCTTGGAAAGCGTCGCGAGTGGCAGCGAAATCTGCGGATATCCACGACTGACTTCAAGAAGGCCGTCGACTGCGTAGATCGCGATGGCCCGCGGCGCGCGCTGACCAGGCAAGGCGGATCGGACGGGCGCGCTCGATTTGTTGCGGACGTCGCATTATGGATGACCTGCTGCAGCGAGGACTGACATGCTGAGTGAGCCGCGTCGCATGCTGCGACGCACGAGTCAGGGAAGCCCCCCGAGCAGCCATCTGCTCATTGCCATAATGATAGACGTCGTTTGCGCCTCCGACAGAAGTTGGCCTGGGAAGCGGCGGGGCCACAACGTCGACGCGACGAGTTTGTGGTGACTCGCTAACTGTCGTTTCGCTCTCGACGCCGTGCTTGCGGGACTTGTATTTTCAGCAGGTCGAGTGCATGATCGCAGCAGCCAGCGGACGCGGATGGGAATCACATCCAGATCAGGCAACGATTCTTGCCTGCGCTACCAGGGAGACTGGGCGCCCCAAGGACCAGAGTATCCAGCCATGCGATGCGCGAATTGATACTACACCTTGGGATGGTGATGTCAAATATCTGGGCCAGAAAGGAAGTTTAGACTGCTCGCGCGTCGCCGAGCGGATTATGTCGCGACGCTGAATTCAGTTTGATTGCAGGGTTGCAGGTGCTCACGCCATGCGTGGTCCGTTATCCCGGCTGCGCGGAATCATCGATTGCGCTATAAGGTGCGAGACGTCGGCTGCCACAAAGGATTTCAGCGACAAGCTGCGCGCGAATCCAAGGGCGATGGTGAGGATTCTTCTCGACAGCGAACGGCGCAGGACTCCTGCCGAACAAGATGCTCATTCATCGGTGGAACACGTGGACGCGCTTGGCGTCGGGGGGGGGGGGGGGGGGGGCGCCTTGGAGCCGCTGCCTGACTGGGTCAAACGCGCGACCCATGAGGCAGAAACGAAATTGGCCATAGTATATTTTTGTGATTTGGCGTGCTCGCGCAAGCAGGCGGCGGCGATGCGGCTTGACGACGCAAGGAATGGCGCAAACACATGCCTACAGCGTTTGTTGTTTCCTATGGTATCCGTACCACATGACAGGAATATCCGCGCGACCCAGGCGACGATGGCAGGACGCAACTGCAAAGTTTACAGCGAAACGCTTGCAACTTGCTGACCTGACTGATCCGGGCCTGAAATCCTGCCGCGCTGCCCACAAGCGGGCAATGCTTTGGACGTTCCGCGCGGGTCTGTCTCCGCCCATTTCCTTGTAGAATCAGACGCTTTCCCAGGGAAGAAGGGTCCTGTGGCGGTCTTTGGGTTTCTTGGAGGCATGCTGGAGGTTGCCGTGATACGCTCTGGGCCATCCCGTGCGATCTTGGAGGCCATCTTGGGTTATCTGGGGCCGTCTTCGGGCCATCCTGGGCGATTTCCGGAGGAACGGGAGCGGGAACGGGAGGGGGGGGATGCCGTTGGCAGGAAATGAGGAAGGATGAGCTCCGGCGTCCTGCGGAGCAGGGTGCGCGTGGGAGACTCAGCCTCCGTGCCTTGCTTCGCCCGTGGAAAAATGCAGAGACCAAAAACTGTTCGGCAGGTTCGGGCAGTGTCGGCTCGGCGGCGATTCCAGCACGCGCGTTCAAAACTGTTGACAACAGTGCATGGGATCCTTCCGCGTGGGGAGCACGAGAAACATTGGTGCATCCATTTATTCTACATGGGGGCGCTTGGAACTGATCCACGTGGGGACCATTCAAAAGCAACGCGTGCAATTGTTCCACGCGGGGGGGGCACATAATACAATGATCCGTTGGAATTCTCCTGGTGGGCAAAACAGAACATAGTTATTTGTTTATCCACATTGGGAACACGAATGTATCGACTTCAGGCGGTGGCCTGAAACGGTCGACATCGAACGATTTGTTCAGACCACGGTCATCCAAGGTTGAACGATCGTGTCAGAAACCAACGCGCAAGGGTCACAACACGTACATGTTCGGTCAGAGGGGTACGGTTGTCCCACGGCGGCTGGGGAATTATACCTTGACGTGCCGCCGTGAGTGCTTCAATCTCCTCGCAGCCCCTTGGCGGGCCTTCCCGATGGCGGACAAGATGATACAACACCGTTTTCCGTCCGCCAAGGGAAAAAAGGATTTCGCTTGCCGCCGGGGACGAACGAGGGAGGGCGGTCTCCGTGTCCGTCCATTGGCCGAGGAAGCATATAAAACATTGCGGACACATTATTGTTTGACGGCTTTCTTGGTTCCGCGCTGGACGACCCCCCCAGCGGCGCCTCAGGCGCCGCCTTGAACGCCGGGGCGGAGGGCCCACAACCGATCCAACAGATCCGAGCGGGCCGTCGAAATGTTATGTTTGTTCAGTTTACTTCAAAAGCAGATTGTTCCGAAACCGAAATCAGTATCAGCGTTGGTAGATCCGTTGTCGAAATCCAGTATAACTCCACCTAACTCTGCTTCGTATCGTTTAATCTGCCACATCTGGTTTGCAATGTTGGGCGCGATCCAGCCAAATTCGGCACAGTGGCCCCTTAATCGGGCTAGCCCTTATTCGATGTTGCGAAAACCTCCCGGGGGTGCGTCCTGCAATTTCGACAGATGAGGAGGCAATTCCAGATTGGGGAGAGGACGGCGCTCAGCTCGGCCACCTGCAGCGGTGGAGGGGAGCTTCTCTCTCATGCGGAGGCAGGGGAGTGGGGGGGCCAGAGATAGGCTCAAAGGGAGGAGGAGGTGGAGGAGAAGGAGGAGGAGGAGGTGGAGGAGGAGGAGGGAGGGAGGGAGGGGAGAAGGACGGGAGGGGAGAAGGGAGGTATGGGAGAAGGGAAAATGAGGGAAGGATGAAGGATAAGGGTGGCAGGGCGGTGGCGAGGTGGAGGGAGGAGGATGAGGAGGAGGAGGAGGGAAGGAAGGAGAGAAAGCAAGTGGCGGCCATTTGCTGAAGGCTCATGGACGTTCGAAGGTGTCGTCGTCCGTCCTGCGATCATCTCAGGGAGGAGTAATGCGGAGGACCCAGGATGACGGAGGAGGATTGGGAACGATCGTGCAGCGACAAAGCGGGGCACGAGAGAACGGCCGCAGGCCTCCCGTACATGGACAATCAGTTCGAACCTTGCGGCGCAAGCTACACCCCCAGACCCCCAAACCTACTATTGAGGGTGCGGCAATGGAGAGGGCATGGGTGGACAGAAATGTTCGAACCCCAAAACCACCACCCATGCTAAAACCAACATTCATTTCGGGGGCGGGGGGGGTGATGAGCATCCCCCTCAAGTGTGTGAGGGTTCGAGCATTTTGTCCATGTACTGTCTCTTTGTAAGCAGCACGCGCCCGAGAAAGTGACTTCGGTGGTGAGGATTGGCCCTTTCAACTACTTCATCAAGTTCCCTGCGATACTGACCACCATCCAGGCTGGGTGCACGGCACGTGTAGAAGTGTCCGTTGCCGCCAATGTTGTATATACACCTATTTTGGACAGGCCCATCTTGGGAAAGGGAACAGTGTATACACGTCATCATCTTGGGCCCAGGATGGGCCTGGCCAGGATCGGTGCAGGTGCATATCGGAGGAGGGTGAGACAACGGCAGCTACCTCGCCCATCCCAATTCCCCTCCCAAGGCCCACCATGTTTTGTTTTTCGAGGCACGCCGTGGCGACCAGAGGCTTCCAGAAGGCACCAAAAATCACCAAAAAATGCAAGGGAGGGCCGCAGATGTCTCGATTGGTTGGCGCTGGCGTCCCCCTACGTGTTGACATCTTTTACCGACATCCTTCATCGCGCTTTCTCTACGAAATTGCTCCTCAGAGGTCTGGACCCCTTGCCCAGGAACAGCTTTTTACCCTGAGTCGTTCTTTGACGGTCCGGGTGCCCGGCGAAGGCCCCAAGAGTCCGAAAATTGTCATAACTAGTCCGTCATGGTTTTGTCACGAAAACAGCGTGATGTCATGGTATTCGCCGCCGTGGCGAAAGTTGACACCACATTTGTTCAACATGACTGCGATTCGGAGGAGAAGGCGGAGTGGTATCTACTCCGCGTGAGTGTGCTTCCCGTGCGATGAGTCATACAGTTTTGCGCGGAGTAGGTGTTGGTCCTTCTTTGAATAAACAGCATTGCGACCGATTTTGCTCCGCCGAACTCCACCAGCCGCATGTACGTTAGGACTCTTGAGAGGAATGAGAGGTTCATAAAAAAAAGGAGCGATGAAGCTTTTTGTCACGACGGTGTCATAGTGCCGAGCCCAGGGGCTTAGCCAGGGCGCCCAGAGGCTAAAAATTAACGAAAGTCCTACGTCGCGATATTCCCTGAGATCCGACTGAAGCATCCTCAAAAACCACGGCCGGAGCTCTGGACCCAACTGGTCCGTGAGGGTCTTGGGGCCCGAAACAGGGCAGAATCGCCCGTCGTGCAAAAATCGCGACGCCATGATCTTGGCGTTTCCACAAAGACAGGATATCTGGGCATACTCAAACGAAAATCCTTGAGGCCTCGCGCGGCGCGCAATAGTTGTATTATCTAGTCCGCACGTCCGCCCCGTGAGATATGGGACGACGTTCACGCGACGATGTCCCGACGTAGGTCCGACGACAATCCGACGTGAATCCGACGCAGTGCGACGTAAGCCCGACGTAAACTCGACGTGGATCCAACACAACTTGGGTCTCAAGTTGCCGCGCGAGACCCCGCAGGAGTTTCCTTAGAAATTACGGTCGGACCGAGTAAAAATCGAGGTCGGTTTGGGGAGGGTACCCTGGTGTTCTTCTTGTTTGTTGGATGTTCCGGTGCATCCTGGGAGGGTACCCTCGAATGTTCGTCGGTTTGGCCGGCGGAGGGTCTCATGCTCTTGAAAGACGTGCTTCTGTCTTGGGTCCGGCTCGGCCCTCCGCCTTGGTCGGAGAGAAAATGTTCAACCGACCGCGCGGGGCCTCAAGAGTTCTCAAGAGGCCACAAGGAGAGCTCCAAGATGCCCCCAAGAGGCGTCCCGAGCGGCTCTTGGGGGCCATGCGCAAACCTCAGACACGCATCGGTGGCGGAAACGCGAGAACACCAAAATCAGAATTGTCCTTTTCAGTTTTTGCAGTGATTTAGGCCTGTCGTTTGGGGGAACTCTTGGAGGCCTCTTGGGGCGATCTTGGGTGCTCTTGGGGGCCTTTAGAGCCAACTTGAAAAAAAGGAATTCCCTCTGATTTTTTTGTTCAAGGATCTCCGTTCCCTCCTGTCCCAGGCTTTGGCGTGCCCCAGAGTGCGTTTCTCTTTTTCCCTATCCTTCGCCGTTCGTTTCTCCCTAATCCTTCTTTTCCTCCGTCTCCCGTTCCAAATCTTTCTCTTTCCTTTCTTCCTCCTCCCCGCTGCGTCCTTTTCCCTCCTCTCTCATCCACGTCTCTCCTTCAAGCCTTCCTCTCTCCGCCTCCCTCATGTGTTTTCGGCTTTCCAACGCCCCAAGACGGCCCAAGAGGCCCCCAAGACGGCCCAAGAGATCCCCGCGACGGCCTGAATACGACCCTAGAGAGTGCCAAGAGGACTCAAGAGGCCGCCAAGACGGCCCAAGAGGCCCTCGAGACGGCCCCAAGACAGGGGCAAGAGCGGGGATCCAAACCGATATGTCGAGCCCAGACGCCAAGAGCCCCGAGGAGGCCCCCGAAAAGTCTTCAGATGCCACCAGGTGTTCCAAAACAAAAACCAGAGAGGCGCCACCCCCGAGAGACCCCAAAGAGCCTTGCAAGAACCTTCCCCAAAGGCGTCCAAAGAGACTTCCAGCATGGTTTTGCAAGGCTCTTAGGGGCTCTCGGACATCCCCCCTTAGGCTGCCCAGGGTCCTCCTCGTGGCTGTCTTGCGCGACTTCTGGAGCCTTATTCAGCGACTCCTGAAGCGTCCACCAGGAAGTACGCTCCCATATGGTGATTCGTGCGGGATGATGTCCATCAGCATCATCATCATCATCAGCATCATCATCATCATCAGCAACATCATCATCATCATCATCATCATCATCATCATCATCATCATCATCATCATCATCATCATCATCATCATCATCATCATCATCATCCGATCATGTGAGTTTGGCTTGGGCTGCGCTAGAAGCTAAGCGCACGAAGCGCGCGCGTGGTTCTAGCGTGCGTGTGTGTAAATATGTATATATATACACACGCGAAAATCTCGACCGCAGTCCCGTACCCCATATTGTTGTTGCACTTGTCGAGCCGGATCGATCCGTGAGGGCCTCGGGACCCGAAGGCAAATTGCACCTTGCGAAAAAATAGCGTCGCCGGGATCTGTCGTGTGCCTTGCCTCGACTCAACAAGAACGAGTTCCCTAACCATCGTTACGTGTTCGGAGTTCCGCGGTGACTTCTTGGATCTGTGCTGGACCCCTTCTGGCGGCGCGTCTGGCCCCGCCCCCAGCGCGCTCCGCGCGCCAGGGCGGGTCTGTGCAGTTCTCTCCTGCCTCCACTGCCCTCCCCCTCCTGAGCACGCGCGCGCGGGGCTGCGGCGGCGGGGGCAGTTCTCCGACGCGAAGATGCAGGCCGACCTCGCCCAGAGCGGAGAGGCACCCTCCCCCTGCGCGCGCGGCCCGCCCACCGTGAGGACGACGGAGGGGTCCCGAGCTCCGATGCGGTCGCGGGGGGTCGTCTGGGGATCGTCTTGTCTCCCCCGCTCTTTACTCTTCTTAATGTTCTCCCCCCCCCCTCCTCCCTCCTCTTCTCCTGCCTTCCTCCTCCCTCCTCTCTTCCCTCCTCTCCTCCTCCCCACCTCTCCTCCTTCCCTCATCTCTCCTCCTCCTCCCCCTCCTCCTCCTCTTCCTCCTCTTCCTGATCTCCTTCCCTCCTCCTCTTCCTCCTCCTCCTCCGCCTCCTCCTACTCATCCTCCTTTTCCTCCTTATCCTCCTTTTCCTCCTCCTCCTTTTCCTCCTCCTCCTCTCGCGGTTAGGGGGCTGCTTGACATCCATTGGAGCCGCCCGCCACTGTCGAAATGGGTACAGAGAACATCGGGACGAAGGTCGGCAGCAGTCCCTGCCCGTTTTGACGCAGGACTCGTTGTCGGGGCGTTGCCGCGGACGTGGCCCGCTTGAGACCACCAGTCGCCTTCCCAGCAGCGGCCGCTGTCGGTTTTGGGCAACATGTGCTGAGTGTTGGTCCTCGCAAGTACTAATTATTCACGCTTCGCGTATTCCCACCTTGCAGCCGTTGCACGGTTGCACCGCCGGGCAGTGTTGCAGCCCCGCCTCCACTCCGGCGACTTCCTGGTCCCGTTCTGAGTGCCGGTGCTCGGCCTGCATGGACTTTAACACGCCGCTGTTGCGTTCTCGCTCGCGGCTGCCGACAAAAAAGTATCCCCACCAGCGTGGCGCTGCACTCGTTTTCCTGGCGCCGTGTGTTCGCGGTCGCCTTGGGGCGCCCTTTTGCACGGTTTCGCCGCGCCGGCCACTACAGGTGCCTCCAGAACTCGGCGCGCTGGGTGCCCTGATGCCTGGTCGCGCTGCTCGTGGCTTCTGAGTCCGCGCTGCCCCTGCCTGGGCGGCCTCCGAACTGTTCGGTGGAGGGCCCGGAGCGGCCGCAGCCCGACCGTTTCCCGCTGTTTCTTCGCGGTGCTTGTCCTCTACGTGTCGACGTTCGTTTGTGCGCCCCACACGGTACTTGGAGGCCGCTTACCTCCACGGTACATGGCGACGCTCTTACTGCCTGTTTTAGAGGCGTTCCCGCTGCTCCTGCTGGCTCGCTTGCCCTTTCCACGGAGCGCGTTGGGCCATCTTGGAGGTCGTGTTGGAGCATCGGAGGCGGGAGGATGACAACGCGGAGAAGATGTCTTCGAGCCATGTGGGGGCCTTCGGGTGGCATTGTCGGGGTCCTCTTGGGATTTGTGTTGGTTATTGTTGGTTGTTTTTTTCGGAAGACTGGGGTTCTCATAGGGATATGTCAGAATGTTTTGGGGCCATCTGGGAACCCTCTTTGGGTCCTCTTGGGGGCCCTGTAAGGCCTCGTGGGGGCGTCAGCACCCGTCGATCATAGGAGGGTGGGGCCCTAGAGTTGCTTCCCATCTCTCAGGCCATACAATTCGCCTTTTGGGGCGCTCTTGGGCCGATCTTGGTCGCTCAGGGCTGTTTGGGGGGCATTGTTGGCCCCTCTGAGGTTTCGTGGGCCATCTGGGGGTCGCATGAAGGACTCCAGAAGCCCATCGGAGGCCAAAAGGCGAGGAAGCAAACATCATTAATTCCCCGTTGGTGCTTGAAGGGGGTTGGCCTCTTGGGGAGTTTCAAGGGGCCCCGAAAAACACTTGGAACAGTTTCGGAGGGCTGGTTGGAGGCATGCCAGAAATTATCTTGAACCATTTGTGGCGATATTGAGCCATTCTGGTGGCAATTCTAGAGCGCCGGAGGTCCTTTTGATGCCATTTTGAGAAATTTCGGGCGCTCGAACCTCTCCGCCACCTAACCACCAAACCTCAGGGAGGGGAAGGGGAGTACCCCTCCCCGAAGGGAAGAGGGCTTTAGAAGCGGAGAGAAGACATCGTTAGACTACCTACCTCCGAACGGCTGCTGGGATTTTTCCCGTGCCCGCTGCGGACGTGCCAGGAAGAGGACGCGTCATGTCTCGAAGAAAGAAAAGTCACCCCGACCCCCAGAACTGGTGCGTACCAGACTCGGGGGCGTTGAAGAGGGGGTGAGGACCAGAGGGGGTTGAGGGCGTTACGGCCTGGGCAACGAGGTCTCGCACATTCGACGGCCTGCGCCGCACCGTAGACCCCCTGAGGGCCCCAATGCCGTTCCTCTTGGGTGCCTTGTCGTGAAGGCATTTTCGGGCTGCGCGACCACGTGTCGAACTCAGGATCATGATCATAATGCGCTCCGTCGGGAGAGGCAAAGGCATGTGTGGGGCATCTGGGGATGCCTTGCGTTTGCATAGATCTGTGGGCCGTTTGGGAGGCCTCTTGGGGAAGGTTGCCGAGAGCCGTTTCGCTTTCACTGTTTTGGTTCCCTTGGACCCTGATAAAAAGGGCTTCATGGAGCGTCGTGGAGCCCTCTTGGGGCCCCCTTGGGAGCTGGTGGGGCCGTCTTGAGGCGGTCTTGGGGACCTCATGTGCCGTCGTGGGGCGTTGAAAGCTTCAGAAAGCGAAACTTCCAAAACCTGGCATAAAAAAACGGAAGGTAATCCACGATTCGGGCATATGGTGGCTCTCTTGGGGGCCATAATTGGGCCTTCTTTTGTTAGCATTGCAATTCTTATTATGCGTAGGATTATTGTTCTCCTTCTTCTTCTTTCAGCACGTTCTTCGGCCCCTCGTCGGCGCACCCGAGAGCCGAAGGAGGTTTATTGATACCGACCTCCACGGCGCCGTCGCCAGGGAGGGAGCTTCGTGTCCCCCATTGTCGGATTCAAGTTTGGGCATGGATGCCAAGCCAGAAGACTGGCACCAACAAATGCCTGATGAACGCTGGCACGAATTCGAAGCCAGATTTGGGTAGATTCCGTACTGGGCGATTTGTGCGTTGCGCGCCCATCTTTCGACGGGACAGCTTTGCTGAGGTGGCGCCAGTCCGTCCGTCCGTCCACTTTCGGGCTCTTGAGGCCATCCTGGTGAAAAATTCCCTCGGGGTGAAAGCTCGGGCACAGGGAGAGCCCAGGTCCCGTACATTCGAGGGCCTGAAACTAGGCTCGCGTCGTGCCGACGCGGCAGCGACTCCGCCGCGGGCGTTCAAGATGGAACGCAGCCAGTGGCCAAGCGTCGGCCAGCATGGATCGACCTGGCGATCGACAAGCTGCCGATCGTTCAATTTCGAGCGTCCCACGCAGTTTCAGAATCTAACGCCAAAGTCACGACACGAACCTGTTGCTCAGGACCCCTTCCACTCATGGCAGGTCTGCCCAGACCTCCAGGCGTCGCGGAAGAGACCACGACGCGCGCTGTTCTTGCAGAGTCGGCCTCTTTGGGTCGTTTTCGGGACCCGGAGCAAGGCGGCACACGATGAGTACTCTGGATGGGACAATCATCCCCCCCTTGAATCCGCTGGGGGCGGTGGGTATGTGCTGTCGGAGTGGGTGGCGGGGGGGGGCTGGAGGAAGAGGAGGAGGATGAGGAGGGAAGGGAGGATGGAGGGGGGCGGGACTGGGCAAGCTCAGTCGGAAGGTTAATCACCCCCCCGTTGATAAATACCCCATCCAGAGTAGGCAGTCCATGGGGCGAGGTCGAGGTTTTCGAAGGCCTACGCCGTGAAGAAAATTCGGCGCCGCAGGTCTGGGGCTCCAGCGCGGAGTGCTGGTTGTCCCGTTGTCCCACTGCTCGTCGTTCGTGGCTCACCTTTTGGTGCATGCTCCCCCTTGCTCTCCTCACTCCTCGCTCCACCAGGTTTCCCTCGGTATTCACTGCTCGCTTCCCCCGCTGCTCGCCATCTCCCTGCTCACGTGCACTGGCCGCACAAACTCTTGCTCGTTCTCATGATCCAGCTCCGCTCCATGCCTGGTTAATCTTGTCTTGCCCCTCGCCCTCGTTATCCCTCATTGATCCCTCTCCCTCTGTCTCCCTCCAGGCCCCCGCCTCATCATTGCTTTCTCTGGAGCCCGCCTCCCCACCTCGCAGTTACTCATCGCCGTCTCCCCCCTCTGACGCTCAGAAACGTTTGCTTAGCGTGTCGCGCCACCAGTTCTGGCCAAACACGCTTCCGGCCTCCCGTCCCACGGAGCAGAGCGACAAGCTAACAGTTTGCAGGGCAAAGCGTGTTGCAGGGGCTCGCTGCGCACACCTCCTGTCCCCCCCCCAAAGCGTAGCCTGTTCGGTTGACCCAGGATGCGACACCACCGTAGGCAAAGTAGGGCGTTTAAACTGTAAGTCTAGACTGTGCAAGGCTAGCAAACGATTTCTGGGATTAGGAAGCTACGTCGGTCGGCGAAGCTGGCGAAAATTTCGTAGTCCCTTCGGACCACGGGGACCTTACCCCAAGCAGCTTGCGGCCACTAGCTGCACGGCTTCAGTCCTAGTGCAATCCAGGGTCTTCGCAGGCAAGCAGGGCAGGCCACTGCTGGAGGCGGGTCAGGCAGATGTCTAACCAGGATCCTGGGGGTATGCACCTAGGGACCAAGGATCCAGGTCTGGAATGTTCACGCCAGTTGGTGAGTTTTGTGCATTTGGAAGTCTTCGCCAGAGTTGCACGATCGTATCCGAGCGGCATGGCAACAGCTAACGCCCAGGCTCTGGAAGAAACGAACGCGTTGTAAGTCTGTCAAGGGTCAAGGGGCTCAGTCAGCGCAGTGTTTGCTACGCTGTACGAAGCAGGTTGGGCCCCAGCAGCACCAACCTTTTGACGCAGGCCTAGGGACGAGGGGAGTGAGCTCTTGAGACTTCCTAACAAAGAGGACGAATATTTTGATGAGGGCGACGCTGATGTTTTGATTTACTGACCAACCCGGTCTAGGATTTCTCGTTGAAGTTGTGGACCCACGTCGCCGCTCATTTTGGGGGCGAGGGGTTGGAGCTTTGCGAGGGTGACCTGGGCCGCAGGAAAGGAAGCAAACTGGCTTGCTGCCGACGGCCAGTTTGATGTCCTCCTCATCCTCCTCTTCGCGCTGCGAGCGCAGGGGGGAGTGGAGAAAGAGTCTGGACGGGGTGTGGCGGAGGAGGGCGGATGAGGGAGGACAAGGAGGAGGAGGAGGAGGAGGAGGCCTCCCTCCCTCCCTCCCTCCTGCCTTGCTTCATCCTCCTCCCTCGCTCGCACCGGCGACGGAGGAGGGGGAGTGAGGAGCCTGGGAGGAGGAAGGATGCGGACTGAGGTCCACGGTCCATTCACCTCCGTGGAGCGTGGGCCACGGATCGTGCAGGCCTTTGGAGCTCTGCGGCGGCTTTGGAGGCCCCCCAGAGGCCTAGAAAGTTCCCAGACACGTTCAGAATTTGGATGACTTGAGCCTCGAGGATAGATCGAGGTGGTGGGGGTGGAGGGGGGAGTGAGGAAAGATGCGACCTTTCCTTCCCCCTCAGGGGAGAGTCGAGGGAGGAGGAGACCTGGAGGGAGGGAGGAGGAGTCCAGGCCTATGTGCCCCCAGCAGATAGGGTCGGAGGATCGCGCAACATCGCCAATGCATCGGCGACGCGGCTCGATATAGACTCCGATGTTCTCCACGCCGACTGCGCCGACGTATCACCGATGTCTCCGATGTATATGCGATGCACTGGCGATGCGGTGCAACCCTCCGATTTGGTCCGCTCGGACCCCATTTGCAGCATCGCGGGCTCGGGCAGCACAGGGGGTGTTTTCTCCTCCGCGGCTCTTGCATGGGCGATGGCGCGAAGTTGACCGCGCGCTGCGCACCGCGGGTCGCGACGCGGGAAGTGGAGCGACCTACATGCGGGGGGCCTCCAAGGAGGGAAGGTTAAAGGGAGAGATGGAGCGAGGGAGACGGGGAGCGGGCCCCACCCTTCTTCTCTAAGGGCTTGACGGCGTTTCGCCAATCGACTTGCGCGGATCCAACCTGAGAAGTGTAGGAAATTCCAGACCAATCGAGGCAAGTCCAGAGATCTCCAGGGGAAGCTGTAGCACATCGGGGACGCTCCAGCGTAAGTCGAAGGACAGCAGAGATCGTTGAGCCCTTAACGACTCCTGGCCGGCCGCGGCGTCCCTCGCCTCCTCCTCCCTAGGCGCCCCCGCAGGCGGAGCTGCGGAGCCGCACGCAGGACGGGCTGGACGTGCCCCTGCCTTCAGTGTCTCCTGCCACGCGAGCTGGGCAAGCCTTATCTTATAGAGTTGACTCCCGCTTCCGTGTCGTGCGCTCCACAAGCCTTGAGATCCTTGAGTCGCGCTTGTGGGATAAACGGCGAGTTTGCCGTGTTTCGGGCCCTGGGACACTCGCGGATCGAACCAGCTCGAGAAGTGCCACTCAGACTGATGGGATCCAGTGCTCTGGTCGAATTTTTCACGACGGTGCAGTTTTGCTCGTCGTGTCGGATCTTGGGGAAGGGGCTCGCCTCCGAGGAACCACGGGGTTGACATCTCTTCCTCGGCCGAGCGGCAGCAGAAGCTGGCGGAAGCAGAGCGGCGGCAGGGCCGCTGGCGGAAGGCCGGCGGACGTTTCCGGAGTCGGCCACGTGCCGTCCGCACGCCCGCAGCAGGGGCCGCACGGCCCCTCCCGGCAGTCGATCGGTTCGGGCCTTCTGACGCCCGAGCCCGAGCCTCGCTCCTAGAGTGTTGTTTGCCTTCGGCGGCGCCTCTCTCAGGCGCAGCGTTGGGGGAAGAAGTTCCGGGGAGGTGCATCGACCCCCAGTGGCCCAGTCACCGCCGATGCGGCTGGCACGAGGAGTAAGAACAAGCCTGGCTTTGGAGGGGTGGGTACCCTTCTGGGAGTGCTCTTCATTTCGGATTTGTCCATGCGGGGCCTTGGGCCCCGGGCGGAGGCGCTCTGTTCTTGACCCACGTTCTTGTGGCCATTTCCGACTGCATGGGGCCCGGAAGCCCACCACTCCCAGGACCTTGCGGATTTGGTTTCGGGGACAAGTCGAGCATGGACTGGCGATGCATCGCCAGTCCATGCTCGACTTGTCCCCCTCGGCGGGTCCCCATCCTGACGTTGTCCCTCAGCTCCGTAGGGGCAACGCAGCTCTTCCTGGCAGATCGGCTGGGGCTTCCTGACGCCCGAGCCTGAACACCTCGCTTTCTGTTGGCCTTCGGCGGCGCCTCTTCATGGCCATGACCACGCTCGGCTCGAGCAAACCGGCCAGGACTGACCCGGTGAGGACCTGGAGTTTCGTAGTTTTGGTTCAAGGCTGCCGAAAGGATCCCTTAAGAGGCCCCCTGGGGTCCGAAGGTGCACGAAATGTTTATTATTCTTCGCCCCCCCGTACAATGTCAGCTTGTGATCAACAGATGACCCCCCACTCCCCAGCCCACCCAAGGCTGATAAATAGACCCCGCGGGGCGCGAACTTCATGTTTTAATCACGCGCGCCAGGGGCTCGCCGCCGGCGCCGCGGAGGGGATCTTGTACCCCCTGCACGGCAGCCTCACAACGATTGCTTTCATATAGAAGTTCTAGTATGGCTTGTATACATCCGAAACGATCTTGCCACCCTCTTGGACTGATTATTGACAGGCCACTCGTCGTCGTGGTCGTCGTCGTCGTCTTGGTTGTGGCCTTCGCCGTTGTCGCCGTCGTCGTTGTCGTCGTCGACTACAGCGGGCATGCGCAGCCCCCCCCGCCGCCCACGAGGCATCCGCAATAGTCGTCGTCGTGGTCGATGACAACGGGCCTGCGCAGCATCTCCCCCGTCCCCTGTATCCGCAGTGCGTCGTCGTCCTCCGTCGTCATTGTTGTCGCCGTCGCCGTCGCCGTCGCTGTCATCGTCGACGCCGCCGCCGCCGTCGTCGCCGTCGTCATCATCGTCGGCGTCAGCAGTGGCGGCGTCACAGCGGGCCTACGCAGCACCCCCACCCCCCCCATCAGGCGTCCGCACTGCGTCGTTGTCTGTCGCCGCCGCCGTCGGTGGCGTCGTCGTTGTCGTCGTCGTCCTCGTCCTTGTCCTCGTCCTCCACGGCGGCCGTGTTCCCATGGGGCATCCGCAGAGCGCGTACACGCGCGCGTCGTCGTCGGTCGTCCCGTTGTCCCGTCGTCGGCATGGCACTGTTTTTTTTGCCATCGTCGCCTTCGACCACAGCGCCACACACCATTTCATGTGTGACATCTTGTTGCGGAGGCAGAGAGGGGAAAAGGATGACAACGGAAAGAGAGGAGGAACCTTTGCCGCCTGCCTTTGCCGTTCCCCCCCCATTCTCCTTTTTTTGTTGGTACACATGTGGGCACCGCCCGCCAACTGTGAAGAGCCTAGTTGTTTTGTTCCTGTCTGTAGCCATTTTGGCCCGACCGCCCCGCTGTAGCGGCGGAGCTGCTGTCGACCCCGCAGAAACAGCGCCGTTTGCGTCGCGCCTGTCGCCGCCCAGCTGTCGGCTGATTGCCGGCGTTAATTGCCAGCGCCGCCAGGGTGTGTTTCCAGTTGGCTGGCGCCGCCCCGCGATTCGCCCGAGCGAGGAAACCATTTGTCGAACCACGTGGTTGGCGTCGTGTTGTCAATTACGACCTGACAGTACGGCCACCGCATGAGGCAATTCCTGAGGGCCCGAGCCTGGCGGGGTTAGGATTGGGATAAATCGCTCCAGAGCGTTCTGGGCGTTTTGTAGCGGCCGCGGCGCCCGATACATCTTTTAGAATCGCCAGGGTTCAGAGGTCCCCGGTTTCCTAGATTTGGTATTTGTCTTGGTTTCGTTTCGGCCACGTGCAGAGAACGTAGGGGGAAGGGGGAGGTTTTGAAAAGGCACCCCTATTTTTTTCAAGCGCGCGGGCCTTGTCCATAGATGTGAGGCCGGCGACTTCTGAGAAGCAGTCTCTTTCTACGAAGCCTCCCCACCTCCCCCATACCCCGTTGCCGCGCCGCCGATGGTCACTGTCTAGGCTTCGCTGTGCCCGAGTATGGATCTTGAGAGGCGTTTGGGAATGCAGCCCTCTGGGGGTCGCCCGCTAGGAAGCGCGAGGTGTGACCGCGCCACGCGCGGGTCTTCGGTCTGCATTTCAGGACGCTGGCGTGGACGATTGGCTCGGTGTCAGGAAAGGCCCTGGTTGTGAGGCCGCTCTTCCGACCTTGGCATCTTCTCGTTGCTCAGCCACGCGCAGAGGGGGGCAGGGGGAAGTGGAACGGTTTCTTTGAAGCACCCCTGCTTCTGAGAAGGCGCGGGCGGTCTAAGAAGCTGCTTCCTTCCAAGAAACCGTCCTTTCACTTCTACCCCATTGCGCACGCCGCCAAGTTGGGAAAGCTCAAAACGAATGGTTTTTGCCGATCCCGGCCTCCAGGAGCTTTCGGCGGGCCTTGGGACCGTCAAAGGTACGAGGGAAGGGGTCCAGACCTCTGGGGGACCACGTTACGTCTGTATCTATGGAGCTAGGTTTCGTGGCCGGGAATCGACGCGGTTCCAGAAAGGCCCCTTTCGTTCTTTAGTCAATGTTTTCTGATAGCGCGATGGCTGCAGTTCCCCAGATTTCGATGTCTCGATTGCTCCCAAATCCCCCCATCCATGTCCTTTCCCATTCATCTTTCCCTCCTCCCTCACTCACTCCATCACTATCCCCCACGCAGAGACCACTCCATCCATCCATTTCCCCCCCCCTCCTCTCCTCCCCATCCCCCCTGCCTCCCACCATTGTGTGTCCCTCCCTCCTCCCATGATGAGCGATGAGCACATTTGGAAGGTGGAGCACAGATGATGGTGGTGTGACGAGGCCGTGAAAGAGCATAGGGTTACGATGTTACGGGCACGATGCGCGCTGAGCCGATGGCATTCAGGTATTCATAGAGCTCTCGTTCCAGTACCAGCTGCAGGCGGGCCAATACGTTTGTTATCCACGCGCGCCCCAATCTCTTCGACAACAAGTGGCACGCTCAGACGCAAGTGCGGCACGAAAGCTGATCCTTGCGTTCTGAAGCCGCCCCAGACGGCTGTTTGTTTTGATGGGCTTCCCACGGATATTTTCAGACGGCGAACGATTGGAAATTCGGAGCATCAGCACACCGAGAGAGACAGGGGAAGGAATGTGCTTTGTGTGTGATCTTTGTGGTGAGAGACGCCTTCTGACCTTTACGCCAGACGCCTTGATGGCCGCGACGGCGACGACGACGAAATCGATGAATATGATGGTGGTGAAATGATGTCGGTCACGATGACGACGACGATGCCGATGATGATGGTCATGATGATGGCGATGATGATGATGATGATGATGATGATGATGATGATGATGATGATGATGATGATGATGATGATGATGATGATGATGGTGATGATGGTGCTGATGGTGCTGATGAGGATGATGATGATGGTGATGATGATGATTATGATACATATGGTTATGATGGCGATGAGGATGATGATAATGATGATGACGATGATGATGATGATGCTGATGATGATGGAACTGATGATGAAAATGATGGTGATGATGATGATCATGATCATCAGGATGATAATGCTGATGCTGATGATGATGATGACGATGGTGATGGTTATGATGATGATGATGATGATGATGATGATGATGATGATGGTGATGATGGTGATGATGGTGATGATGCTGCTGATGCTGATGCTGATGCTGATGCTGATGTTGATGGTGATGGTGATGATGGCGACGATGATGATGAAGCTGATGATACTAATACTGATGATAAGTCGTGATTCCCAGCCCCAAGCCCTGGTCCACCTCCCGCACACCCGTTTATGCACGCCCGAGCCGAGTTAATTTCCCATTGGGTTCTTTGGAGGGTTTCGTATAGTTCTTCCGTATAACTCCAAGGCGTTCCAGGGTGGCGCCGCCGCGGACGTTGAGGCTTCGAGAAGCTCCAGCGAACCCCGAAGCGGCATACATTGGCCTCACGACGGCCCAGGAGTTCCCGTGGACGGCGCAAGAGCGCCTCAAGAGGACCATCAAGAGGTTCCCCAGAGGCAACACACAACAGGTTCCCAAGTGTTGTCGCAAGGTGTTGTGGTTGTCGGACTCATGGGCTCGGGGAAGGATGCCGAGGACGAGGAATCCGAGCTGGGAATGGGAGCGCAGGATGAGGAGGACAATTGGGGAGGAACGTGGTGGAGGAAGAGAAGCAGAGTGATATCAAAGAGAGCGGGGCGGACAGAGCAGGAGGAGGAGGAACAGGGATCATCGAGGAGATGGCGGCGATGAGGAGGATGAGGAGGAGGAGGATGAGGAGAGGTGGACGGGAGATCGAACGGGGCAGAGCAGGAGGAGGAGGACGAGAAACGGTTCGAGTAGACGTACGCTAATGTTTACGATGTTGATGGCGATGATGGTGATGATGAGTCTGATGATGCTGATGATGATGATGATGATGACGACGGTGATGAGCATGATGATAACGATGGTGATGATGTTGATGGTCAGAATGATGTTGATGTTGATGATGTGGACGAGGATGATAATGTTGACGATGACGAAGACGGCGAAAGTGACGAAGATGACGAAGATGGCGAACACGACAATGATGATGAAGATTATGATGATGGTCATTAGTGTTTTCCTGATGAGGATGATGCTGGTGACAGTGATGGTGGTGATGGTAATGGTGACGAAGATGACGAAGCTGACCGAGCTAACGAAGATGCTGAAACTCATGATGATGATGGTGTTGGTGACGAATATGATGATTATGATGATGGTGATGGTGATGATGCTGATGATGCTTATGATATTGATGATGATGATTGTTTTGCTGGTGGTGGTGATGATGATGATGATGACGACGTGTACGATGATGGTGCCAATGAGAATGGTGATGCTGATGATGGTGGTAACGATGTGAATGATGATGAGGATGATGCTGATGGTGGTGATGATTGATGACGATGACGGTGATGATGGTGGCGGCCATGATGAAAATGATGACGATGATCCTATCTTGAGCCGCGGGCGGGCGATCCTATCTTGAGCCGCGCGCGGGCGAAGCGCGTTTCTTGGTCTTGTGTATATATCGATGTACATGTATATATGTATATATATACATATATACATATGTATATACACATACTCATCTATACATGCATATGTGTATATATATAGATATGTGTATGTATGTGTGTATACATACATACAAGTGGCACGTGTGTGCCCAGGCTCATACAAACAAATCTGAAGGGGCGTTTGAAGCAGGAGTGAAATGCAACAGCGAAGTCACACTCGAGCGCAAGTGGGGTTGCCACACCTTGCGATGTGTGTACCAGGGCCCCCCAGGAAGCCTCAGGAGGCCCGACTTGGATACCAGAAGAGGCTCCAGGAGGCCCCAGGATTGTGAGTGTTGTGTGGGTGTGTGGGTGTGTGTGAGTGTGAGTGTGAGTGTGAGTGTGAGTGTGATGTATGCTCTGTGTTGTGCGTGCTTTTTGTGCGTTGTAGGTGTTGTGTGTTATGTGTGTCTAGCGTGTGATGTGTTGGGCGTGATGTGTGTCTCTGTGTGTGCATGTAGTTCTGAGGCCCCAGGAGGCCCCAGGAGGCCCCAGGCGGCCTCAGGAGGCCCCAGGAGACCCCAGGAGGCTTCAGGAGGCCCCAAGAGGCTCCAGGAGGCTGCACGAGGCCCCAGGAGGCCCCAGGAGGTTTCAGGAGACCCCCAGGAGGCTCCAAGGCGGGGTCTGGGGTACCAGAAGGTTCAGAAAGCCCCAGGAGGCCCCAGGAGGTTCCAGGAGGCCCCCAGGAGGCTCCGAGGCGGGGTCTGGGGTACCAGAGGGTACGTCGGGTCTCGATTTTGGGAGCGTGTTTCAGGCGAAACCGCCATTCTCTGAGAATCGGGGTCAAAAATTGAATGTACCATGTGTTTTTGAAGGTGGTATATTTAAATGTTTAAATTCCCATTTGTTTTTGGACCCTGACGTCACGATCTGCGTGAGGGGTGCCACCGATTTTCAGAATTTCGAGGATGTCCCTAGCGAAACGGGCAGAAACATCGCGGACGCTGCGCCCCGCGTACGCATTAATCGCCTCTGAGCTCTACTCTTTCGGAGAGGTGCGTATGAGAATATATATATATATGTATATTGTAGTGGCCTCCGGCCAGTGCCGCCGATCCGGGGCGTTCCTGATGCTATTGTTGTAGAAATGGACGATGACGACGACAACGGACGACCAACGGTCGACGAGCGGATAATTGCGACGACGACCGACGAAGGAGTTAATGACGACGAACCGACGACGACGACGACGACGACGACGACGACGACGACGACGATGACGACGACGACGACGACGACGACGACGACGACGACGACGACTGACGGCGAACGACTGCCGACGACCGACGACTGGTGACGGCGACGGGTGGAAGGTTCTTCGTTCATCGCTTTCGCTTCCGAGCAATACCAAGTCAGGCCGTGCACCTCTGGCCTGACAGCACGCGAGTGAGCGCCTCTTGGGGCCTCTTGGTTCTTGGGGCTTCTTGGGGGCCTTTGTGGCCTCTTGGGGGCCTCTCGGGGTCCTCTTGGGGGCCTCTTGGGGACCTCTTGGGGGCTTCTGGGGGCCCCTTGGGGGCGCCTCGGGGGCCTCTTGGGGGCTCTTGGGGCCATCTTGGGGTCGAGGACTAGAAGGGTCCGTTCGGGTTCACCCTCTTGAGGCCATCTTGGGGGCCTCTCGGGGTCGTCTTGGGGGGCCTCCAGGGCTATATTGGGGCCCTCTTGGACCGTCTTGGCTCCTCTTGGGGGCCTCTTGGGCTGTCTTGGGGCGATCTTGGGGGCCTCTTGGACCGTCTTCGGCGCTTCTAAGACGCAAAAGGCGATAATGTCAAAATGTTTCAAAACCTATTAGCAACTTTATTATTGTACCCCTCTTGGGGATCCTCTTGGGATCTCCTTGAGGCGTCTTGGAGGCCTCTTGGGCCGTCTTCAGGCCATCGTGGGCGTCCAGGAGCGCTCTTGGGCCGTTTCGGGCGCCTCCTGGACCGTCTTGATGGCCTCCTGGGCCCCTTTTGGCCCGTCTTGGGGCGGTTTGGGATTCCCAGGGGGGAGGGGGAAAGAAAACGTGGACCCGATGAAGCCCCCCCCCCCTCCCCTCCGGCAGAGCCACCCCGGCTCTACTCCCTCGGAGAGGTGCGTATGATAATATATATATATATATATATATATATATATATATATATATATATATATATATATAGATAGATAGATAGATAGATATCCCTGCGCACGAGGCCCAGGGGTCCCGGGCCCGGGCCGCGGGCGCGCATGGGGGGACCAGGGCCTCCGAAACCGCTCCCAGAACCCCCCCGGAGTGGCCGTGGAGCCCCAAGACTGCCCCAGAGTGCTCCACGACGCTTCCAGAAGCACCCTGGGAATTTTGACAAGCCCCTCCAAGACAGCCCAGATAGCCCCAACGTGGTCCAAGATGGGCTCCAGACCGCAAATACATAGCCCAAGAGGCCTCCAAGAGGCCTCAAGAGAGCTCCGAGAGGCGTCCCGAGAGAGCCCGAAGAGGTCCGAATCGTTGATTTTCATTATTTGTTTCAATGGTTTTGCGCTTTCTCGCGTTTTCGATCTTCCGACGCTCCAAGACGGCCGACGACGCCCCCAAGACCGCCCCAAAGCCGCCGAAGAGGCCCCCAAAAGATCCCAAAGACGGCCCCAAGGAACTCAAAAATTGCCCAGGAGGAGCCTCAGACGGCCCAAGAAAGCCCCATGACAGGCCCAAGCTGGGCCACAGAGCGGGAGCGGGAGGCCCCAAGGCGCTCCAAGACGGTTCAGACGGCCCCAACGTGGCCCCGGGTGGGCCCGGCGCGGCCGGTGCGCGGCCCAAGAGGCTTCCAAGAGGCCCCAAGAGAGCTCCGAGAGGCGTCCCGTAGTTTTTTCAATGGTTTTCGCTTTCTCGTGTTCTCGAGCTTCCAACGCTCCAAGACGGTCGAAGACGCCCCGAAGACCGCCCCGAGACCGCCGAAGAGGCCCCCAAAAGAGCCCCAAGACGGCCCGAGAGAGTCTGAAGATTGTCCAAGAGCAAGCCAAGACTGCCCAAGAGAATCCCAGGAGAGGCGCAAGATTGGCCCCAGAGCGGGAGCGGGAGGCCCGCCCCAAGGCGCTCCAGGACAGCCCAGGTGATCCCAAGGTGGCCAAAGAGGAATTCAAAACGGCAAACACAGCCCAAGAGGCCTCCAAGAGAGCTCCGAGAGACGCCCCGAGAGGGCCCAAATCATTGATTTACATTGTTTTTCCTATGCGTTTCGCTTTCTCGCGTTCTCGAGCTTCCAATGCTCGAAGACGGCCGAAGCCGTCCCCAAGACCGCCCCAAGACCGCCGACGAGGCCCCCAAAAGAGCCCCAAGACGGCTCCAGAGAGCTTGCAAATTGCCACGAAGAAGCCCCAGACGGCCCAAGAGGCCCCAGGACAGGCCCAAGATGGGCCCCTGAGCGGGAGCGGGAGGCTTCAGGGCGCTCGAAGACGGCCCAGATAGCCCGGGCCTCCCCTTTCCGTCCTTCCTTCCCTCCCGCCCCCTCCGCTTGCCTCCACTCCCTCCGCTCACCCCTCAGCTTTCGTGTTCCTCCCTTCACCCCTCAGCTTTCGTGTTCCTCCCTCCTCCTGGGACGGCCCCGCCAGAGCGCCAGACAGGCCCCGCCAGAGCGAACGGGGCATCGCTACACCCTATCATTTCACAAGTTGTTTGCCCCTCCCACCCTTCAAGGGCGGCCCCAGCAGAGCGAGAGGGGTGTTGATATGCCACATACAGTCCCTGTTTTGTTTTGCTTCTCCTACCGCACCCGAGGTAGCCCCGTCAGAGCGCACGGGGTGTGGCTGTACCACAATTTCCCTGAGGTTTCGCGCCCTCCGTGCTCCTCCCTCCCCTCCTGGGCAAGCCCCACCAAAGCGCCAGGGAGAGGCTTCGCCAGGGCGCCGAAAAGGTACCGCCAGAGGCCCCGTCAGAACTCCAGGCAGCCCCAGACATTGGATTTACCAGGCAAATCATTGAGCATCCACCGTGTGCCCGAAGCTTCTGCTCCCACTGGTGCGATTATCGCCGGCATGCGGTTTGTCGTCAACAACTGACTGCAGAGAAGGGCGATGATGACCGGGACATCTGCGCGAGCCTTCTGCTGATACCCAACAGCTGAACGACCACTGAAAACGACAAGCTTGGAACACAAAGAGGGGGAAACAGAAAACAACGCGTTCCCACGCGCGCGCGCAACGAGGCACCGAGCCAACCCCAACATCAGGAGCTGGCGGATGTCTGCGTGATCGGGTATGGGGAGACCGAACAAATGTGCAAAACACAGTGCGTGTCACGACGGGGCAGAGCGGATGTCAAAATGAAGAAAAAACGCAGTTCGATAAACCAAACAAAGGCGACATCGAGATTGTGAGATACGCGGGAACGTGGCGCCCCGCGTTCTGACTACGCGTTTCATTGCGTCGATTGCATGGGCCAGAGACGCTGGTAATCGTGGTTGCTGCCACAGCGGGGCTTACAGCGGCACCCGTGGCTCATCTGCGATCAAAACTTCACCGCGCGCGAAACGCGCGCGTGGTTCTAGTGTGCATATATATACACATGTATGAATGTATGTACGTATGTATGTACGTATGTATGCATATGTGTAATTATACTTATAATAGGTTCATGCATGTGTGAACATGTATACTCTTTATATATACATATATATATGGCGCGTCCCACGTAGTTCCTCATTTTCGGAAAATCGAGAAGCTGACAGTTTCCTCTGCGAGGGGGGTCGTTGCCTGGATCGCCGACAGGGGCCCCCGCCTCGCCCAGGAACGCGGGGATCCAATCACGGAGGCCTATCGCCGATCTATCGGCGACGCGTCGCAGATTCCATCCAGGTCGACGCTTCCTCCCCTGAGCCTGCCCTCCTCCATCTTTCCCTTTCAAGGGCTCGGCGGGGGCGACGCCGGGTGGTGAACGGGTCGCCGCCGAGGCGGAACAGGCCGCCAGCGGGGCGCGAGGCCGACTGGACAAAATAGGTCGTCGTCGTCGGAGCTACGCCAGGCCTCATTGGGGCAGGGCAGGGTGGCTGTCCCTGCGCACCCCCTCCAGGTGGTGGTCGGCGCTGCGAAGGCCGAAAACGACGGCCCCCACCCCCACCTAGGGAGGGGTAGGTTGGCCAGCGAGGCCAAGGTTTCCTAGAGGGGGATGGTTTTTCCAGAAATCAGACGAGGCACGGCAGGGCAATACAATGGTAATGATCCATGAGGGCCGCGGAGCCTCGCTTCACCCAGGCACCCGAGAGCAATGCACGACTGTTCTGGCCATTCCTTTTCATGTGTGTGCGAGAGTGCGCTCTCGCAGTGGAAAAGGTGCATGTGTGCCTGCACGCGACGTTCACATCCAGAGTGTTTGATGTAGCAGCAGTGTTTGTTTTGTTGAGATCAACTATATATGTGCCCGAAGATTTTGCAAAGGAGCCTGGACACGACGCGAATTCGCTCACATTTCCAACATGGTTCGAGCTCGTTACAGACGTCGACTTTGCGTCCAAAGCCACTGCTTGGCAAGTTCACCTCAGGATGGAGATCCGACTGCACCACGCCCCGGGCACATTTTCTGGGAGCCTCGGGGGGGCTGGAGCTCCTGAGCATCTCGCCAGCATGTACTGCCCCCAGTCCGTTTGCTGAGGCTTGGTCCAGCTTCCCCTTCTCCATCGCGCCCGTTTGCCGGATCAGTCGAAATTGGGGAAGTTGGAGAGTCAGGGGCAACTTTGGGGGGAAATAGGTCAGGGATGCATCGACCCCCAATCGCCCATTCATTGCCGATGTAACGGTCTGATAGCCCAATCGTCTGCGAGCCCAACCCGCCCAGGACCGTGCGGTGTCGTTGTCGGGGGCCCATCGCCGATCTATCGGCGATGCAGCGCCGATGCGAGCTCGACGCTTCCCCCCCTGAGCCGGTCCCCCGGTGGTTTTCGGGCCAGAACTCCCAGATCATCCGCGACCAGACGTCTGCGGTAGTGGATCTCGGTCGCGCCAGGTTTCGGTCACGACCAGACGGGGTCGAACTGCGAAGGCCTTACGGCCGGTGCCGACGACCCTGAAGGGAGACGACGACGACGGCGACAGCTGCGGCGGCGGCGGCGGCAACGATAACGACGCTGACGTGGGCCAGAGTCCTCAGGAATGGTTCTTGGGGTCTCTTCGGAAGTTTCTCGGGGGCCTCTGGGGAGGAATTTGAGGGCTTTGGGGGGGCTTCTTGGGAGCCTCCTGGGGGCCTCTTGGGCTTCCTGGGGTCCTCCTGTGGGCCTCTCGGGGCCTCTCGGGAACCTCTTGGGGCCTTCTGGGAGCCTCTTGGGGCCGAGGGCTCGAAATGTCCGCCCGTCTGGGCACACGCTCTTGGAGCCGTCTTGGGGGTCTCTTGGGCCGTCTTGGAGGCGTTCTGGGCTGTCTTGGGGTCCTCTTGAGCTGTTTTAGGGCCCTCTTGGAGGCCTTTTTGGCCGTCTTGGGGCGATCTTGGGGGCCTCTCGCGCCGTTTTGGAGCGGCGGGAAGTGGAAAAGGCGAGAACGCCCAAATGTTTGAAACAAAACCAGCGGGAAATCAATGAGTTTGGCCTCGTGGGGCCGAATTTCGGTAAAGAAGACACGGTGCGCCAGGGTCCAAGTGAGGGCTTCGAAGACGTCGACGGCTTGCTCGTTATTGGAATTCGCGGCCACAGACCGAATTTCTGGCGCGACGGGTTCGTCCAGAGCGTTACCAGACATTTTCGGTAACGGATGATCTGAGTTCGGGCCTCCGGCGGCCGTTCGGGACGATCCGGGCACCCTTGGAACCCTCTCGGCGAAGCGCAGCTGCTAAAACGCATGCCGAAGCAGCAAAACCTTCAGGAAGGTACGAAAACGTGCGAAAACCCGTCCGACGACGAGCACGAGGGGTTGCATCCCCCCCCCCACCCCGGAGGGAGATCTGCTGCGTGCAGCTGACTCCGGCCCCCCCCGCCATGAGCGTCCCCCGCCACCAACTGAGCTTCCAGCGCCAGAGAAAAAGCCGCTGCGTGCAGCCGATCCGCTGACCCCCCTTTGCTGTCCCTGCCCTTCGATGATCCCCAGTCGGCGGCGAGCTCAGAGGATAAGTTCCGGAGGCCATCTTTCTCAGAAGGCTCGGGAGGTCTCTGGCTTTCTGAGCAGTTGTCTAAGCCTTCTCCAAAGACAAAGATGGCTTCTCAGAGGGCTGGCAGGCTTCTGAGAAGCCCCGCCGCCTTCTGAGAAGGCCTACGTAACCCTTCACACTCCCCCCCGGGCGCGCCGCCGACTCAGGTCATGTGAGCGACGGAAGGGAACGGTGTCGAGTGTGCCGACAGTCGCGCATAAGTTTCCCGCGTAATGCCGCGCGTAAACGCCCCCTTCTCCA